CGTCTAGCTCCATCCCTAGGAACTTGGTGTGTATCTTTCTCTGTATCTGCCTGCCTCCCATTTCTAGCCTGATCGACCCTTCATCGTACCGCTGCATGGTTTTTTTGTTGAAGATCATGAGGGCTGATTTTTCGGTGTTGACCCTGAACCCCCATTCGTTCATCCAGCGCATTACGTTGTTAAGTTCTGGCTGGAGACTGTTTCTAACTTGAGTGATCTCGCTCCCGGTCATCCACAGAGCGCAGTCATCAGCGAATTGTGACAGCTTGACTCTTTTATCTGTGATCGCTCTGTGGAGGTCGTTTACCAGTAAATTGAACAAAGTAGGAGAGATTACGGCCCCTTGTGGGATGCCGTTTTCCTGCACTAGGGTGTCTGATTCTTCGTTTCGTATCTGGACTGCGAAAGTTCTTTCAGAGAGGAAGCTTGAGATGTAGTTCAAGATTCTTCCTGTGAGCCCTAGCCTCTTGATCTTAATGATGGCTCCTTCGCGCCAGCACTGGTCGAACGCCTGAGCGAGGTCTAGGAAAGCGGCCATCGTTTTGTCTCCCTTCTTGAACCCGATTTTGGTATCGTTTTCTAGCCTTATGATTTGGTCCAAGGTTGACCTGTTGGACCTGAATCCTGACTGGGTGGGGCTGTAGAGATTTTCTCGGTTCAAAAAGAAGATGAGACGTTTATTGATGACAGTCTCTAAGACCTTTCCCAGGTGGGAGGTGAGGGCAATCGGTCTGTACGATTCTGAGTTTTGTGGATCTTTGCTGGGTTTGAGAACCGGGATTACCAGAGCTTTTTTCCATTGAGCAGGTATCCGTCCCCTGCTCCATATGATGTTAAATAGATTTGTGATGGATTGAATTCCGTTAGCTGGGAGCATTTTTAGGATGGAGTAATTGAGAATGTCGCCTCCCGCTGCTGAACTCGCCTTTTCCTTTATCGCGGTGGCTACTTCGTCCACTGTGATGTCGGAGTTTAGGGGCAGAAAGTCGCTTGGGGATTGAACCGGTCGTCCTCTTTCCTCTTCAAAGTATCGGTTTCGCCTGTCGATCTCCTGAGCGCCCAAGCGCTGGTTTGAACTGACATCGAAGAAGTGGCGACCAAAGGTGTCGGCTTTTTCTTTGTCGGAGATGGCCAGGGTAGGGATTTTTAACGTCGGAATTTTTGTATGTTTTTGATCCCCTTTTATCGCTTTTATCTGTTTCCAGACTTTCGTGGGAGCTGTGCTGGGATTTAGCGATTGGCAGAATAGTTTCCACTGGCATGTTTTGGCTTTTTTTATTATCCTGCTGGTTTCATTTCTAATATTTTTGAAGTTTTGCAGGTTTACTTCGTTTCGGCGTCTGCGGTATTTGCGCAGCGCTGTCTGTCTTGCGTGGACCGCAGCTTCACAGTTTTCGTTCCACCAGGCCATCGTTTTTTTGTTATTTCGTTTAGGGGCGAGATTGTCTCTATGCCTATTATTTATAAGGTGGTCGGGCATGTTCTTATTTGGGATATGCTTGATAGCCACCTTCAGGATAGCGGTAGTGAGGGTTTCGGCGCTTTGGTCTATGTCGTCCTCGAGAATAGTATTAAGATCGGTGGATGAGATTTCGTTGCGAAATGAGGCCCAGTTCGCCTTTTTTATGTTGAAGTATGGACGCTTAATTTCTTCTACCAACTGTGGGCGCGTTCTCGTACTAATCTTGATTGGCAGGTGATCGCTGCTGCTGTCGGACATAACTGACCAATGGCAGCCCGCTAGCCTCGCCGTGGCTATCGATAGGTCTATTGCTGTGTCTCGCGTTTTGAGGCTGGGGCTTATCCTAGTGGCGGAGCCGTCGTTGAGAACAGTTAGAGAGTTGTCTTCAATAAACTGCATTAGGTTATTGCCTCCTCTGTCTGCTGTTAGCTCACCCCACGTTTGATGATGCACGTTCAGGTCTCCGAGAAGTAACGTGTTTTCTGTGAGGAGGCTTTTGATTGTGTTGAGGTCTGTTGCCTCGATTTTCCCTGCTGGGCTATATACATTAATGATAGTTAGGTCGTGGTTGTGGCCGGCGATCCTGATCAGCAATCCTTCCAAATTTTGGGTGTTAAATCCAGTGTGAGATATGACTTTTATTTGGTTGCTGACCAGGGTCGCTACCCCGCCACTCCTCATATTGGATTTTCTATCGTTTCTGTATGTGTCGAAACCCGGTCGCGTGAATTTATCTCCTGCTTTCAGCCTGGTTTCCTGCAAGGCATAGACTGTTGTCTCCTCCCATGTTTGTTGGAATATATCTGGGAGGTTTCTTCTGACGCCGTTGCAGTTCCACTGCAGAATATTGATATTGGCATTCTCCATTTTTGAAAGAAATAAACGCTGTGCTAACACTGTTTTCTTTTTAAGCTTCTTGGCTCGTTTCTATTGTGTCTGAGTCGGGTTCTGAATCAGACAATGAGGATTCGTTATCTATCGTACTGGAGTCCGAGGAGTCAGAGTCAGGCAGCTTGCCTTCTATCTTCTCCAGCCTGCTGATAATGGATCCTATAGTCTCCTCAGTGATATTGTTAGCGGTTTCATTGGGGCGGTCGCAGACAGGTGGCTCGATCGGGACATTTTGGTATTCGGCGGGTTGATTTTTGACCGTGTTTTGGGTCGCTGCCTTTAAGAGTTTGATTTCCTCATCGAGGGTTTGCTGCCTTCTCACTAAATTGCCGATCATACCGCGTAAGTCTAGAATTTCTTGGGCCATTTGTTTTTCTCTTTGTGCACTCTGATTCAATTCTGAGTTCAGCTTTTCCTCTAGTTTCTCTATCGCCTCAGCCGATCCGCCTAGGTCGCCGTTTGTTGGTTTTGGGGTGACTGGGGTGGGTTGGCTGGCCGGTAGACTTGCCGCAAGATTCTCTAAGGTTTTCTGCGTCCTTCTAACTTCGGATGCTAGTTCTGTGGGCGACTTTTGCTGGGAACGGAAGAATTTGACGGCTTTAAGAGAGGTTTTGGTTAGGATGGCTTCCTTCCAAGCTATTTGTTCTTCCTTTCGTCGTCGGCAGCCTAAGTACTTGGCACTGTGACTTTCGCCGCAGTTTGCGCATTTTCGATCAGCGTTATAGGTTTTGTAGTCGGTGACTGATTTCGCCTTCGCGCATTCTCGTATCCAGTGTGAGGCGGAACAAAAAGCGCACACTGGTGGTCGTTTACAGTTTTCTTTAGAATGGCCGAAAGCCTGGCACCGCCCACACTGAATGAGGGGCGGGATGAATGGTTCGCAGAGTTTTGACCTGGATTTGTAGGTGAGATGAGGGGGTGAATCCTTCCCTGAGATAGTCAGTTTGATTACTTGGGTGGGTTTGCCGTTTTTCGTTAGCACACGGGAAGCGTGGGTTATTTCCAGTCGCGGGTTTTCGTTTTTAAGTGTTTCGGTGATATGTGAAATTTCGTCCGAAATGATTATTCCCTTTATCACAACTTTGGACTGTGGTTTAAATTTGGCTATTTTTATTTCGATGCCGTGGTCCAGTTGCAAAAACTTTCCTTCCCCTTTTTCGACTTCATTGATTAGTTCCTTGGTTTGATCGGTTCTACTCAGGATCACGGTTAGTTGATTTGTCTCTTTTTGTAGGCGGAGGTGAACTACAGAGTGGTTCCCTAGCTTGTTGTTTAGTATCTCTTTGGCTTTCGCGTTGTCCAATTCCGCGATTTTCACAAGCGAATTCACTGGGCACTTTGTTTCAGTAATGATTAGTTTTGCGTTAAGCGTTCTCTTAGTATTTGGACGGAGTCCTGTCGGGATGGCCGAGGAGGAGGTCGGGGAGATTGTGGGTGGCACGTTGACATCCCTATCTCCATGGGGTTTGGTCGTTCCCTCCGTGACTGCTGTCGCATAAGACTTGGCTGACCTGCCTGGCGAGAGCGCCGGCTGAGCTTCGACCGCAGACAGCGGCTGGATGGGTGACGCGGGCGCGGATTTCTTTTTGGCCTGAGTCGGTTTGGCTAGAGGGCTTACTTCTGGCTCTTGGTCCGCTATTGCCTGTAGAACCGGTTTTTTGAGGGAAACCCGAGGCGCCGTCGCTTTTGGTGCACTGTTTTGATTTTTCCCTGCTGGGTTTTTAATTGTAGCGTTCGTCTCCTGAGAGCTGGCTCTGGTAGATCTCCGCATGGTAATCGGCGGTGATTTTGACATTTTTAGAGTGGCTAAGCCCTAGTTGAAAGTTTTAATCGTAGATTATACTCACACTCTTGGCTTGCTGACGTCTTGGATGATGTGTCGTCTCGAATATGGTTACAATGTTTTCGCAAGAGCTTGTCCTCTGCCGGGTAACAGGCCTGGTTAGGAAGTCCTCTAGGCAAGAAGGATTTCCCAGGGTGTTCCCAACAGTACACAAGGCTAATGCTAAGTCTTGCGAGGCAACGAACTCTCGCTTGACTTGGTGGTCTTGTGACTAGGTAGCGAGTGCTGGCAGATCAAGCCGATTGACAAGCGATCAACCAGTCTTCTCGTTTCCCTAGCACGTACCTGATATGCGGACTGGTATGCGGACTGAGTGAGGCAAACTCCCACTTTTTCGGACCGAAACGGCTGACTTTTAGTCAGCGTAACGACTTGTGATTTGAACCACTACAGTTTTCAGGTCTAGCAGATCTAGCCGAGCGGAGCAGCGATCAATACTAGTCCCTGAGGTAACCTGTGATTCTCCTCTCAAGCGCACGCTGAACTAAATTCGAGGCAACGAACCCACTCGATCATAAGACACCCACGAGGCAACTGACTCTCTCGCTGTCTCCGTCTTTCTCTCTTTCTCTCTCTCGTCTCTGTAGGAATCTGTTTTACAGATAACTCTTATGCAAACTGTTGGTTCCTTGCTGCTCAAGCAGGTGAGCTTCAACTTCGGAGGGAAACTGCCTAATTAGTTGCCTTTTATGATAAGCTTGCTAAGTAGGCAGAGTGTGTGTTCTCCCCACCCCTTAAGCAGGACCATGGATCCCACACAGGAAAGTTTATTATTGATAATAACAGTTTTCTTATTTGTTTCAGCCTGGAGCTTCAGACAATGCAGCAGTACATTACCAGTCACAAAATGAGTCTGTATTGGTCATTCCGAATGAAGGTATCTCTGGCAAAGCTACATTTGCCAACTCATCCGAGGATAGTTGCGCTGCATATCCATCTGACAACAGTAGAACTCGTCTGATTAAACCAACACGACAGAAGGAAATTCAGAGGCAAGTTCTTCCACAAGCTCCTGATTATGTTGGCTTTAACAGCAGCTTTATCCAAGCTGGTTTTGCTTTCAGCTTTGGCATCTTTATCACAAGAGTCAGATCATACTGATGTAGGAGAAGCATTGCTGACAGATGAAGCATCTTCTGAAGATGGGCGACCACCTACTTCAGTAACTACAGGTGCAGAATCCGTGGACACATACGTACAGTATAAAATTGAACTGGATGCACAAAGAGACCAAAAAGACCAAGACTGCCTAGCGATACAGATTCAGAGACAAATAAATACCCATGCTGATCATATAGTTCTGCGTGTGGAACAGAGTAGAGAAGCACCAAGACTGATTCCTGCAGAAGATTATTCCAGCATGAATGTGTGTGATAACATACAAGATATACAGAGCCCTGGTGATACAATAACCAATGTAGAACCCACTGCTCCTTCAGTCATTGGTGCACAAAGTTCATGTGTTGACTTTGGAAATGTTGGCCGTGTGAGCTTGACTTGGGCAGTGAAAAAAATTGCCTCAAATAGTGGTAATTGACTCAAGAAATAGTGGCAGTGAAAGAGTTGCCTCAAAAAATAGTGGGGGGGGACAGTGAAAGAGGCAGTGGAAAAAGAAATTGCCTGAAAGGGTTGACTCAAAAAATAGTGGCAGTGAAAGAGCTGCCTTAGGAAATAGTGACAATGAAAGAGTTGCCTCAAGAAATAGCGGCAATGAAAGAGTTGCCTCAAGAAATAGTGGCAATGAAAGAGTTGCCTCAAGAAATAGTGACAGTCAAAGAATCGACTTAGGCAATAGTGGAAGTACAAGAAACTCATCTCGCCTTACAGACTCTGACATGAGCTTTGAGATTCAAGAGGAAAGTAGTAGTGGGCAATCAAGTTCTCAATCGAGTTTAAGGAAAGACTATTATAGTAATGGCTACATACCTCATCAAGAAGTAAAAGACTGCGACATCACCAAACATCCTTTATGTTAAGATATGAGCATGTTGCGTTCCACATGATGTGTGTATTTTTATTTGAATATTTTTTCAATTTAGGATGCTTGTGAAGGTTTTGAAGTTGCAGTGTGAAATCTTTATGAATAGTTTATTGTACAGAAAACATTTTGATTACATCACCAAGTTTTAAAAAAAAAACAGTTAATCACCTTACCAGGTGTAAATACCTGTGTCTCATAAATAAGAGGCCATAATTCTGAATACTTTACCAGTAATGTCTTATTGCAAAACAGATCACAAGTTGTATTTGTTTCCATGTATTTAAGATAAGATTTCATGCACAGAGATCTGGTCTCCTTTCTTTTGGTATATTAATTACATTACCTATCTCATTTAATATATCATGTTCTGATGAACAATTTTATTGTCAGCACTCAAGTTGTTCGGGTGAGATTTCATTCCTTATGTAAATGAGTTTCAATATTCCCATTTTTCTATTGACATATTATTTTTAAATTTGAAATTGATGCAGTATTCAGTCAATTTTACTAAATTATTTATTAATTTGTATTCTTGATTCTAGTCACATTGTCTTTTGGCTTGCAATCATTATTTAGTTTTTTTTATTGTCGGGAAACATATTTGTTTCCTGCAAGGGTTTTATATTTGGCCCCTCTTGAAGTAGTATACCCATGAGTTTATTGTTGCCATTCTTAACTCTGTCAGAATTTAGCTAAGACCTTGTGAGGCTGAAGGAGTTAACCACCATGCTTAGACATCTTGCAAGGTCAGCAACTATTTGACCATCATGCCCGACAGGCGAGTCCAGTAATCACGTGGATCTCCTTGTCTCCACTGCCAGCCATATGTTTGGTCATTGCCCCCAACTGCACCTGAGGCTGTTACTGCCCCCTGGGCTGTTGCAACCCCCTCCAGATCTGACCAGCAAAGTTACTGTCATTGAAGTGAAGATGTTTCTCCTGACCTGGGCTGTTGCAACCCCCTGCAGATCTGACCGGCAAAGTTACTGTCATTGAAGTGAAGATGTTTCTCCTGACCTGGGCTGTTGCAACCCCCTGCAGATCTGACCGGCAAAGTTACTGTCATTGAAGTGAAGATGTTTCTCCTGACCTGGGCTGTTGCAACCCCCTGCAGATCTGACCGGCAAAGTTACTGTCATTGAAGTGAAGATGTTTCTCCTGACCTGGGCTTTGCAACCCCCTCCAGATCTGACCGGCAAAGTTACTGACCATTGAACCTGAAATGTTTTAGCAGGACCTGGGCAGTTGCAACCCCAGTTGTGCCAGATATTGACTGGCCCACCTACAGATTGAAGTGAAGATGTTTAAATATGACCTGGGCTGTTGCAACCCCTACCAGATCGACCATCACAAGTTACTGTCTTGAATGACATGACAGGGCTGTTGCAACCCCCTCCAGATCTGACCATTGGTTACTGTCATTGCAGCACCCTAGAACTAGGGGCTGTTGAAACCCCCTCCAGATCTGAACCCAATCAAATTTACTGTCATTGAAGTGAAGATGTTTCTCCTGACCTGGGCTGTTGCAACCCCCTCCAGATCTGACCGGCAAAGTTACTGTCATTGAAGTGAAGATGTTTCTCCTGACCTGGGCTGTTGCAACCCCCTCCAGATCTGACCGGCAAAGTTACTGTCATTGAAGTGAAGATGTTTCTCCTGACCTGGGCTGTTGCAACCCCCTCCAGATCTGACCGGCAAAAGTTGCTGTCCTGAAGTGAAATCCTGACCTGGCTGTTGCAACCCCCTCCAGATTACCGGCAAAGTACTGTCATTGAAGTGAAGATGTTTCTCCTGACCTGGCTGTTGGCAACCCCTGGAAAGATCTGACCGGCAAAGTTACTGTCATTGAAGTGAAGATGTTTCTCCTGACCTGGGCTCCTGGACTGACCAAACCTAAAATGGGTAGCAGGAAATTGACCAGTATCTAAAGGCAGTTTGCCTGATATTGACTGCCCCACCCACAGAATGCCAGTGGATTGTAAATGTGTGGAGCTAGCAGGACGTACACATAAAGCTTCATGACAGACAGATAAGGTTCCTTTCAGTTCAGGTTGGTTCCCAGCCAGCAGCACTAGAACCTAGGAGCTTATGAAACACCACCTACCCCCATCCAAATTATTTTTTTCTTTCTTAAAAAAGTGCATTCTATTTGGCCAGTTCCCCCTTTTCCATAGGAAATTTACAAGGAAATGCTTCCCTGAAGCATTTAATGATATTTCTCTTTCAAACCATTTGTTTATATTATTATTTCATATTATATCAAATATATATATATATATATAATATGCTTTTGCCATTCACCACATAAAAATAATAATAATTAATATTATTAATGCGCAATTAAACATGGCTTAAGCTTCTTAGGGGTCCCTGGAAAAATAAAGGGGCTCCCTCTGGGCTCCCTTTCCAGTGTTTTCTTTGTGACTGTGCCCCTGTTCCCCTCAGTTGAGCTAGTCAGTCAGAGGTTTGTACTTCCTCAACATCTGACCTATAAACACAAACAAGTAGTGCTATTATCATCTTCATTATACATAGAATCTCCCTGGGTAGAACACACATACAGAACCACAACACAATGCACTAACCCCATAGCACCATTAAGGATCCTGGTATATGTACATCAAATCCACATATACTTTAAATACTCTTTTTTGTTGGTTGGTTATGACAGTTTAAAACATAGCAGAGACTGTGGCCTGTTCAACCTACTGTTTATGATTTCGGACTGCCTAGGGATTTTTGATGTGTAGACTTTTGCTAGCAGGAGCTGCCATGGCGTAGCAGCTGCATGCTCACCTGCTCACACAGTTGTATTAATTTTTTTAGAAGTTATATCCATTCATATAATTCCACTTATCAGTTCTTTTATTTATTCAATAATTGCATTTAATTTTCACTTATGAAGTGAATGAGTTGCACTTTTTTTAATTCGGTGATTCACTCATTCATTCATTTCTGTTTGTTCATTAATTTACACATTCATTATGTTCCATTTATTTATCCATTAATTCATTAATTTAATTAATCCATTTATCTAAACATTCAATTAGTCATTCGTTTAATTTCTTTTATTTATCACTTTTACTCACTTATTTAGAGGATCCTAATATGTGTACAGCAAAACCACACATGCTTAAAATACTCTTTTATGGATAGTTATCACATTTTAAAATGTAGAGATTTCCCTTGTGTGTTCTGTGGGGGCATTAATGAAGATGTTTGGGTAGGATTAAATCAAGTGATCTTTGTCAAACCTGCACCAGTACAGAGTGCACTTGACCACTACACAACCTCCAGGCAGGATATCAGAACCTGTCAAGTGTTCTTTTAGCAAAGAGGGTTTGAATCTCCAACACTGAGTGTCTCTCAGCTATGGAGTAAACTACCTCTCTGATAGTCTGAGGTCCAACCATCTCTTTGAAAAGTTCTTTGGCATATTGGGTATATTGTGCTAGAATCAGGTCTTTTTTTTTCTAGTGGTCCACAACAATACACAGTACCGGCACCTTTTTAGGCATCATTTTTATGTTAGTGCTGCTGTAATAGACACCTTATGATGAGTACCTGCTGTAATAGACACTTTATGGTTTATACCGACACTTTTATTTCTAGAGAAAAAGCCCTGGCTAGAATTATATATTTTATATACCGATTGAGACTTAATGGCTGATGTGGCCAGCTTCACACAGGCTGCCTTTACTTCCAAGGACATTGCTTGGTACCAGTTACAGCCATGTTGCAGATCTGAACTTAGACCTTCATGCTAGCAGGTGGTATCATCTCATTTATTTGAGGGATTTTAAACTGTTTTGTTCTTTTAAACCAAAACATTCATTCACAGAATTCCATTCATCATACTTTCACTGATTCATTATTTGAATTCCAATTATCGTTATTTCACTTAATCATTAATTGAATCACACTTATTTATCCATTGATTACCTCATTCACTCACTGAATCATGTTTTTCTATACATTATTTTACTCATTCATTGAGCAGTAAATCCATTCTACAGTAGCTCTTGAACATATTACGTTCACATTTATTGCCATCACTGGTGTACTTAAATGATTGATTCACAAGTTTGTGTGTACAACAATCTTGGTTTGATTATATCTG